ACTTCAAGGTTGGGGAGCTCATCTAAGCCAACCAAACGACATCGGGAATATGGAATCAACAAGAAAGCAAACTCCACATAAACAACTTAGAGATGAAAGCTGTAATCAGCGCATTCTACATTGGAGCACATTTCTACAAAATCGCGCCCTGATGATTCATACAGACAATTCCACAGTGGAGTTCTCGTAAACAAGCAAGGCTCAGCGAGATCACTGAACCTTTTGAAACTAAGCTTTCCAGCTGTTCGATCTAACCCACGATCTAAATCTACAGATCAGAGCAGTTCACATTCCCGGAGCCAAGAATGTACTAGCAGACGCGCTATCTCGGCCTCATCTACCATCACCGACAGAGTGGATGCTCAATACGGAAATATTTGCTCAGATAATCAAGCCGTTAGCAGCCGCTAATAGATCTATTAAGCCACAAGATTCAACAATCAGTTACCGACATTACGTGTCACCAATCCCAGATCCACAAGCGGGAAGCGGATTCTAAGTATATCTTGGGAAGGCCTCAGCGCGTGCAGCGTTTCCATGCGCCAGCAATAATACCTCAAGTATTACAGAAAATCAAACAAACACAGAGTCTACAACTCACTTTGGTCACGCCCTACTGGCCAGCCAGAGTATGGTTTCCCAGTCTAATTCAAGAAATCGGTCAACCAGTATTAGAGCTACCCAAAGCTCAAACCTGTTAATACATCCACACACAAAACAAGTGCATCGGAAACCCAGAAGTTTACCAACTTCACGTATGGACTGTATACAAATGTGTTTAAACAAAGAGGATATTCTGCCAGGGCGGCAAAGCGGTCAACGCGCTACGACACTCAACTCGTGGCTTGTGCGGCGACAAGTGGCACAGTTTTGAAAATTATGCAGCTAATAAAGGATTTACAGCGAGGGATGCTTCACATCCTCAAGTGGCAGACTATTTGTGTTACCTGCGCGCAAAACAAACATTTAAGAGGTTCGACGATATCAACATATCTTGCAGCTTAGCTCTGTGATTACTATGAGAGCGGGTGTCAAGCTGACAAAATCTCCAGAGTTACTGGCCTTACTCACGTGCTTTCGATTGGAGGACCAAAGCGGAAGTTCCACGCCCCAGCTTGGGATCTGAATAAAGTGTTACAACACCTCACAAGTGAGGCTTATGAACCCTTGGAATCGACAAACTTTGAATTTCTCTCACAGAAAACACTATTTCTGCTATCTCTAGCCACGGCAGCAAGAATATCTGAAATTCAGCTCTGGATTACGAAAGGATACAGTTTGATGACAATCAAAACATAAGCACCTCGGATTAAGATGGGATTTCATCGGCTAAAATCAACTACCAGGTCAACCAGACAGGTTATTCCATGTACCAGCTATCCTCCATTCTCGGATCACAAGATACACAAGACTTGTCACTGTGTCCAGTCAGAGCTCTCAAAGTTTACCTCTGACGATCCAAAACAAGGCGAAGATTTCTCAAAGATTATTCATCCCCTTATCATGTAGCGAATCAAACAGAAGTCTACATACTACCATATCTATTTGGATAAGGACTGTCATACTTCACGCATACAAGGCAGCAGGCTTGGACCCACCAACAGCATCAAATCCGCGTAGAGATTAGGGCACTAGCTTCCACCCTAAGCCCTGCGGTAACTGTTCATTGAACACTATTATGGAAGGATGCTTTTGGAAATCGAACATGGTGTTTCGCGAATCACTACTTGAGAGATATCACCACAGAAGATGTCTCTGGCATTCACCATTTCGACCCTTTGGTCCTCGGCTCAACAGCTGACAGTCCCTCGTGAAGCGTTAAAATATTACAATCACAAAGTTAATATGTATTATATACATAATTTAGTTAGCTTATAACTCTGAGGAGTTCTAGAGCTATGTATATATATTCAGCTTAGGTCTTTCACCCCTAAGTATATATGGACATTATATTTAGTTGTACAGCGACTCTATCAGAGTCACTTATGTATATATAATTTATGTAATGGGGTTTTCAATATATATCAATGTAATACACAATTATGGCATTATAAAACCTATGGTTATATACAGGGAATATCCTAAGTCTATGCCTTCATGAAGTTCCCATACCAGTTATTACAGTTTATTTATACAAAATCACTAATTATAAATCCAAAGTATTCTGTTACTCCCTCCTCCGTTCCGTTGGAGGATTCTACAAACAAAAGAGCATGAGTCAGGATAAGGAAAATATGTAATTTTTAGAATAAAATTGATATTTTATACTTATCCTGACTCATGAATCAACCCTCCCATCCTCCCCACGCAACACTTTGGATTTCCCTGTAAATTCAAGTGTTGGGCTCAAAAATCAGGAGAGAGTGAAGCCACGAGGTATGAGGTGGCGGCACCTTTCCGCCAAAAGGGATCAAAGGGGAGCAACTTCGTGGTGAGTACTGATTAGTGATTTTACATTGAAGGGAGCTTCAATTAAGGAGATACAAGTGTTTCCACTATGTTCGCAAGAAGAAGAAGACAAGCAAAAGAGCATGAGTCAGGATAAGTATAAAATATCAATTTTATTCTAAAAATTACATATTTAACCCAAAGAAATATATCCTAGCATTGTGTAATTTTAGTTACAGTTTTTGCTCTATAAATTAATTAAGATTACGATGTGTTATTTGTCTCGTACACAAAGCTGGAAATAGCAATCAGCTGTGCACCGCGTTTCCCCATGAACAAGTTCAAACATGCACAATAATATAGCGGGATGAATTCTATTGATTGAATACTATTATTTAACCAAAGAAATATATCCTAGCATTGTGTAATAGTTTATATGTAAAAAATATATAATCAACACTAAGGTTATCACGGACCATCATGAGCGTGGTAAGCACGTGACATGGAGCAGTGATAATCAGTTTGTGATTGTTGAATGGGAATTAAAATAAGCAAGCCAGTTTGTTGCTACAATAAATATGATATTTAGAGAGCAAAATATATTATGCATTTTCTGTCAACTACACTTCGTTTAGATCCATTGAGTAGACACAATATATATGACAGTGAATTCTTTGAATAATGTGGACCAAAGTTATAATTATTGGTAACTGCCAGTTGTCTGTGGGATGAGTTTGTGCGTGTTTATTGTTAGTGGACTATTTTTCTTATTGTCATATATATATAGATGAAATATGGACACTTAAATAATATATTTTGAAACAAAAGTTGACTTCAGTTTTATTTACCGATGGTACTTTTTCTCTTGGGTTCACATTTCCATACTCACCGATTTAACAAAATGGCGTCGTTGTTGATCCAAGCAGTGATCGCCGGGATATAAAAGGAACACAAACACATGTTGCCACAATACACGGTTATCTTTATTATGTAATATTCTCACCAACACTTACGCTGTATATCCACTTTCCAAATGGCGTCTCGTTGTTGATGCAAGCAGTGATCGTTAAAAAGGTAAACAAACGCCCGTAATCTTTGTTATGTAATATTCTCGTAATGGTGTCTCTCGCCGTTGATGGAACATACTTACGGGTACTCTGGTCTCTGTTGGCGCGACCCATCGCTGGGGCGGCTATCCATGAGAGATATGATTTTGACACTAATTTTGGGGGTCAAGTTTGGGGTCGGCTTATCCATGGGGTCGGCTTATAGACGGTCATATACGGTATACCATTTGAGTGTATGTTGTTCATTTAATGAGCCATACTTTCAGTTAGATTAAATTTGAAATGTGTCCCCAAAAATGAACACCAAAATGGAGTGGAATAGCATGCAGGGGTTTCCATTCTTACAATGTACATCAGTTGGACATACGAAGAATAATCAGTTTATTTTTTCAATAACACCTTATGTGTCTACTGATTAAAGTAATCTGTTCATATAATGATATTCACCTCAAGTCCTCCTTTTACGTTCAATGGAATCTGTTTTGGCGGATCTTAGAAATTAGTCATTTTCTGACATTTTCATTGTATCCTTCCCTTCATTGTGGTCATGTTGCCAATCATTGTTACCATCGTACCTGTTACTGGCCAAACACAATGTGACTAATATGCCAGAATCATTCTCTAGGAGCACAGCATGCCCAGGCAATAGGCAGTTTCTGTGGACTCTTTTGGAAATAGATGCACAAAGTTGAAATGAAACTGACCAGCAAGATTAGTATTTTTTGTTTGCTGCTAGTATGTTTGATATGAAATGCATCTGAAACACCGTATGATTTCTTATTAAAGTACTGTCGGAAATAGAAAAAAAATGTTTTTAGGCTGTTACTCTGTATCCCTAAAATTTACACAACTGCAAATAGCATATGTCGAAATATCCCACATCGGCCTAACTGGGCATTGAGTGGGATGTGTGGTAGGATATCCAGAGAAGCATGTTCACTCGTAAAATCAGGCAAAACTTAGAAAAATATGAATAGTTGCTGAAAACAATAGATCAGACTATAGATGGCAGTTAGGTCGCTCAGCCAGGTATGATGACTCACCTGGCATGAAATGCATGTGCTTCCTACCGGCACAAGAGGTCATCTCAAAGATATGTTATGCTTTTTCATGTGTGTTGAATATGTCTCATCTATTGATAAACATCTTATGTGTCTTTCTTTCATAAGGTTTATGTTAAGATATGTAAAAGAGTTGATACCCATAGAAAAGCTTAAATCATCGCATACTAATTTGCATAAAGCCATGGTCTATTCCAAATAAGTCGCTTTCGGATTAGAAAAAAACCCAAATTGCTCATTTCTACACTAATGTCTTCTCAGTAAAGTCCTTTGTATACGTTTCCTACCTCCCTACCACAGAGACTGTAGTTAGGCCGAACTTAGGTTAACAGATATTTCACACTTTCACATATTAACTACATAAATTGTAGATATAAATGTGAAAAGTTATTTTCTATTTCCGACAGCACTTTAGATATTTATACTTCTGTTCTCAAAGTCTGTGTTAGTGTTGAGTTGAGCCCTGAAATGTCGTATATTGTAGATATGGGAGAAGGTGAAAGTTGACCGTCCCAATGCTCCAGTATGGGAGACCAGTCAGATCATCGGACAGATGTGGAGAGGTCTCAGTGATGAAGAGAAGCGAGTCTATGTTGCTGAGTATGAAGCTGATAGGGTGAGCTAACGCTTTGTGCGTGACTATTGGATGTGTCTTGACATTCACTGAGAGCATGAAGGTGATGACTTAATGGGACATGGTGTGATGACTTCATGTTATGTGGTGTGCTGACTTGATCTTATTTGGTGTGTTTTACATCTGTGAAGGTGGTGACTTGATGTGATATGGTGTGATAACTTGATGTGATATGGTGTGATAACTTGATGTGATATGGTGTGATAACTTGACATGATTTGGTGTGATAACTTGATGTGACATGGTGTGATAACTTGACATGATGTGATAACTTGATGTGATAACTTGATGTGACATGGTGTGATAACTTGATGTGATATGGTGTGATAACTTGACATGATTTGGTGTGATAACTTGACATGATTTGGTGTGATAACTTGACATGATATGGTGTGATAACTTGATGTGACATGGTGTGATAACTTGATGTGATATGGTGTGATAACTTGATGTGATTTGGTGTGATAACTTGACATGATTTGGTGTGATAACTTGACATGATATGGTGTGATAACTTGATGTGACATGGTGTGATAACTTGATGTGACATGGTGTGATCACTTGATGTGACATGGTGTGATCACTTGATGTGATATGGTGTGATGACTTGACGTGATATAGTGTGATGACATGTGATACTGATTGTTTTACCTGTATGGAAGATGTGTGGTACACTTACACAAACTATGAATGACATTCGAGGGGTTACATGAGCATGGAAGTAATGTTTAGTGTTTTATGGTATTTTTATACATATGAGTTTGTGGTACATGTGTGTAAACTGTGAAGTGATTGTTTTAAACTTGTGTGTGCTGTGTGAGCTTGAAGGTTATGTCTGTGGTGACAAGTGTTGATGCTCAGACACAAACCAGTTGCACATGTAACGGTAGTTATGAAATCTCTTCTTCCAATCAGCAAGGAGATACAATGTACCACTGGGATTGCTTTCAGGTACCATTCCACAATATCGCCATGGTTTTCTGAAAATGACATCACTCAGTGATGGTGTGTCAGAACTTACAAACAAATCATGTTGGATGAAGTGTATCAACTTGAAAATAATCTGTTGAATCCTTTGATGTTTTTATAGTTTATAAAAGTAATTTAGAAATAAATGTTGCCAGATTGTCTGGTCCAGACACAATTATTTACAAACCACCATCATGTGCTTGGTTGTTTTTGAGTGTGGCATTAAACATCAAACAAAATAAATAAGAATAGAGCCCATACAAAAAATAGGCCATCACGCAAACCCCTCGTGATATAAATAGCATTTAGATGTTCATAGGGTCATGTTTTACATTGAAGTGTGGTTTAATTTTGAACCTCATAGATTCATCCTGTCTATAGATTTTGATTGACTTTTACAAAGTCAAACAGAAAATTCTTATGCGAAAAAAGGTTTGGGACATGAAGAATAGTATAAATGATTTCAGACTACATGTGAACTTTGTGTGCTTCATTTATGAAAGCTTTCAAGTCATCTTATACATGTTCTATAACTCAGGCACTTTTGATGTATTTGTCTGTATGAATGATTCATGCTGAAAGAGTTGTTACATCAATGACAGTTTCCTTTCATCTATTTCATTTAGCAAAATATATGACAGTCTAAATTAAAATTATGTCCCGAGAGACGATGTCCATTATGGCTGAAACTAAGATGTTGATAAACCACATAAATGCATGTGTGTTTTTTTAAATTTGAGAATATAAAAATCACAATAATAGCATCTTCCCTCTTCCCTGCTTAAAAAATTAAATATCCTTAACCATATTAACAGATAGGTCACAAAGATTAGTTTTGTTGGTAATTACTCAAAAGTTCAAAATACATTAAATGAAACAAGAGTAAAATAATTCAGTACAATTATCAGTCAGTCAAAGTTTTGTTTCATCTGATAGTGAAACAAGAAATAATTGATGAAAGTTCGTTGTAGATTTTAGAACCTTTTAAATGGCAGATAATGTGTAACGGGGGACTAATGAGATTGGTTAATGTGTCAAGTTTTGACAAATAAAATCTTTCTTGAAGATACTTTTAATTTATTTCCATACATGAGCATAAGGGCTTCTTTGTATCCTCAGAAACATTTCTCTCCCTGAATAACATTTGCATAGTATTACAGACATTATACTGTCATAAGTTTGTTATGTAGAAATCCCATCTGAATATTCATTTCTTCTAATGCTTCTAATTTTACAAACATCTGGTATTTTCACCATTTGATAAAGGAAACCTGCAGAAGAAATAGCAGGAATCATAATGAACTAAAGCCAAGGAAAGAGTGTAATCGGAAAGGGTGTAATTGTTTAAATTTAAAAAGACAAGTAGAATGACAGCAATAACACAGCTGCTTTAAGTTCTTCCACATAGTCTTATTAAACTGAAGTTTTGGGTGTTTGTCACTGTTTGAAGTGCAGTTTTGTGTGAGGGAATGAGTATGTGGAGATGAATGAGAGAAAATTCAACAAAACTTTTTTGTTTCTAATATCAGTTAGCATAGCCCTTCCTTTGAAATTTCAAATCTGTAGAGCCAACACTAGAAGAACAGTGTTTTTTCTTCATGTTTTGTATGTGCATGTAAATATGTGATGTAAGACTCTACATATTAAAATTGGAATTCTTTCTTTGTATTTTGTAACCTATTGTGATTATATACAAATACTCTTTGTCATCTCTTTTCATCTGATTATTGATTATATATATACTAATGACTGACAGCATGGTTAGTGAGATATGTAATTCTAGTGGGATAGTGTAACACAGTAGTTCTACATATCTCTCCACAGTGCAGGGAACATTTAGCTGTGTAATTATATCTAAAACTAGTCTCCATATGACTAAGATGTCAATGTGGATTGGAAACTGACTCTGATAGTTCAACTTATGCAGTGTTCAGTTGAAAGTGGGGCATCTTTTTCAATAATGATGCAAGAAGGACCACCCACATGCAGCAATTTATACTTCACAGGAATCTGCCATTGATCAAAATGCATTAATTTATGGCATTAATGTTTGTTGTTATTGTTATAGGCATTGAGCAGTGTGCACTTTTATAAGGCAACTCTATCACAAAATATGACACTTTCATTTCATGCTCATATTTCAGTATGAGGACAAACAGTTTGTTGCAGTATTTGATCATGGCAGGATGTTTGATTGGCTGTTGTCAGTTATATATAAGAATTATATGTCAGTGTCTAAAAGTATCTGAAGAAGCAATTGAGATTTTTGCTGAAACAAAGTATTCAATACAAAGGCAAACTTTACAAAGTGACAATCAAAGACTCCAATGCTCATGAGCTTGGGGATCAGCCAATTACACCATGCTTTCACAGTGGATGAAACATTGTCACAGACTTAGCTCTTTCTCCAAGTGTTTGCTTTAGGTTTTATTCTGTTTGACCAAAATGGAAAATTGATGGCAATTGAATCTGCATAAACATGAACATGCACTCCGACATGTTACACTGAAATATTGTGTGGACATGAAACACAAACTAGTAAACACATCTTTCAGGTATGTCACAGGAAGCATAGTTAAGGACCCCATCTCAAGTCAAAAACATCATATTTGTCTGCTTGAATGAACACTGGGTTGAAGGTTAACTGCATGTTCAGCAAGCTGACCACAACATTGGATTTTTAGTAGCATGGAGCTTACTTTATTTCAAGCTGAAGCCAATATGAACACATGGATTTATCCTGGCCATCTGGCACTGTCAACTGACTGGCAGTGATCATCGACTGGAATACACTCATCAGAGTTCACTTTGTGAAATAAAGGATCAAGGATTTCACACCTTGATATTTGTTGTATGTTTTTTTAGAACAAAATGTCAGAGTGAAGGTCAAAGTGTTACCGCATATACTGTCAACGAAACCATCAGAAGCAATATGTTGTACCAAAGAATGGAACACTGTTGAAAAGCATGCATGTATGGCATGCATGATATGTTGTTGTGTATTTATATAATGAAGTTTACACTAAAACTGCATACATGTGCCAATTGTTCAGTTGTCTTGTCTAACATGTCTGTTAGTACAGTGATGTTCAAGATGTTATGTTTTTGATAATCTGTTACATGACCTGTACATACTGACTTGCCATGCTTATACAGCTGTGTCTTCATATTCAATGACACATTTAGCATTGTGTTGTCTCTCTACTCTATATGTACTAACAGCATATTTGACGAGTGTTTGAGATTAAGAAGTTGCTGGGAGTTTTGCATTTGGAGTAATGAAATGTAAGGACTCATTAAATCTTTTCAGTGATGGGTTAGGAAAGGACCCTTTACTTGCTTAATTTCAAAACATGGTTTCATGAACAGATTTAACCCAACAACAGACTTTGACCATGCAGAGAAGAGAAGGTGTATGTTCATCATTAACACCAGAGCATGCAGCACCCATTGCATGTATCTGTGTGGTGCTCCTGTATCACAGAAGGGGACAGATGAAGCTACCAGAAGATGCCAGATATTCCATTTGATATGATGAATATCAATATCATCACCTTGTTGCTGAATATGATAACGCTTCACTAATTCTCTGACGTATACATTTGTGAATGGGAGGTAACATATACATGTGAGTAACCACTCTTTCTTTGCAGGAGGAATATAAGAAAGCATTTGAAGCATACCGGGTTGCTTTAGCCGATTACCAGGAAGCTGTAGGGGCTGCCCAACGTAAGCTCTATGTCTCCATGTTGGCTCTGCTATCATTTAGTTTCTTGCTGTTTGGCAGTTGCAAGTTATTTAGTTTTAGTCCCAGAACCAGCTCTGTGTATCAGACCAGTACTTTCTGTTCATGTTGTTGAAATTGCTGTTGTTCAGATTGCCATGTAGTGATTGTACAGTATTTGTGTTATAATGGATGAATATACCAAGGTGATTGTCATCATTAATGTATATCTAACCTCTTGCTGAACAAAATATGTAAGCGGTTAACAGTCAGAATATAAAACTACTGAACTGTTCAATTGGTTAAAGTTCTTATGCTCATTTAACCAGGATCTTGATGTTTGCTACTGTTAATGTCATGTTGACATGAAGTTTGAAGGCTTGGTCAAAGTGGCATGGACTAGTTACACTTCTCCTTCTTGCCCAGAGTCTATGAGATATACTAGGAAATATGACATCCAACTGACAAGAAACATTAAGCATTTCTTCTGCTACCATCATGAAGTTGACGTTTCTGATTCACAGACTTTGCCATGATGATGATACATCAGGATATTGAATCAGTATTTTGTCAAGGAGAACTCATGATGGTGTATCTTCCTGATTTATGGTCATATGATATGACAACCAAACTGACAGCCTTTATCTGACACCCCTGCCAGCAGCAATCATTTCTTTCCACCACTATCTGACATTGGCATTTATGACACAATAGTTGTTATAAACATTTCACTCTGCAGTAGTAAAGACTTTTATCTGTTTGTAAGAAATTGAGTCTTTATGATGCAATGAAACTGTAGTCACAGTATTCCATGAGTCATAACTAAACTGGGAGGTGACACAACTGATGTCACACAACTCACAATCACTTCACTCAGTATAATACAAGCTGCAACAATATTTGTACTTGTTTGATATTTCTCATTATTTGCTTTTTGTCAATGATTCTATGCAGCTTTTGATCAGCCATGAACTGACCTTATCTATATCATACCAACAGAGGATATTTTGACTTTTGCTTTGATCACAAGAAACCACAAGCAGACATCCTCAAATAGACATCTTGGGTGATGGACTCCATGGTAATATAGTTGTCAGACTGAATAGCAATGAAGCCGTGTCATGTCTGGGCAGCTGACAAGCTTTTTATAGTTTTGATGCATTGCTCTGAACACAGAGCCAACCAGTATACTCAGAGTGACTGAATGGAGGTCCTTTTAGTCATTAAAGGCACTGTCATAGTAACCAACAGCGATGTATGGTGGTCCTTCTGGGCATTACCGACACTGCCATCTTCACTGATAGTGGCTGATTGGTTGTGCTTCTGTGCAGTAATGGCACTGTCACATTCATTGATAATGACTGGATGGTTGTCCTTCTGTGCTGTAATGGCACTGTCATGTTCATTGATAATGACTCAATGGTTGTCCTGTGCTGTAATGGCACTGTCATGTTCATTGATAATGACTGGATGGTTGTCCTTCTGTGCAGTAATGGCACTGTCACATTCATTGATAATGACTGGATGGTTGTCCTTCTGTGCTGTAATGGCACTGTCATGTTCATTGATAATGACTGGATGGTTGTCCTTCTGTGCTGTAATGGCACTGTCATGTTCATTGATAATGACTGGATGGTTGTCCTTCTGTGCTGTAATGGCACTGTCATGTTCATTGATAATGACTGGATGGTTGTCCTTCTGTGTTGTCCTTCTGTGCAGTAATGGCACTGTCATGTTCATTGATAATGACTGGATGGTTGTCCTTCTGTGCAGTAGTGGCACTGTCATGTTCATTGATAATGACTGGATTGTTGTCCTTCTGTGCAGTAGTGGCACTGTCATGTTCATTGATAATGACTGGATGGTTATCCTTCTGTGCTGTAATGGCACTGTCATGTTCATTGATAATGACTGGATGGTTGTCCTTCTGTGCAGTAGTGGCACTGTCATGTTCATTGATAATGACTGGATGGTTGTCCTTCTGTGCTGTAATGGCACTGTCATGTTCATTGATAATGACTGGATGGTTGTCCTTCTGTGCAGTAGTGGCACTGTCATGTTCATTGATAATGACTGGATTGTTGTCCTTCTGTGCAGTAGTGGCACTGTCATGTTCATTGATAATGACTGGATGGTTGTCCTTCTGTGCAGTAGTGGCACTGTCATGTTCATTGATAATGACTGGATGGTTGTCCTTCTGTGCTGTAATGGCACTGTCATGTTCATTGATAATGACTGGATGGTTGTCCTTCTGTGCAGTAATGGCACTGTCATGTTCATTGATAATGACTGGATGGTTGTCCTTCTGTGCAGTAATGGCACTGTCATGTTCATTGATAATGACTGGATGGTTGTCCTTCTGTGCAGTAGTGGCACTGTCATGTTCATTGATAATGACTGGATTGTTGTCCTTCTGTGCATAGTATTGGCACTGTCATGTTCATTGATAATGACTGGATGGTTGTCCTTCTGTGCTGTAATGGCACTGTCATGTTCATTGATAATGACTGGATGGTTGTCCTTCTGTGCTGTAATGGCACTGTCATGTTCATTGATAATGACTGGATGGTTGTCCTTCTGTGCAGTAGTGGCACTGTCATGTTCATTGATAATGACTGGATTGTTGTCCTTCTGTGCAGTAGTGGCACTGTCATGTTCATTGATAATGACTGGATGGAGGTCCAAGATAGTATTGGCACTGTCATGTTCATTGATAATGACTGGATGGTGGTCCAGGGCATTAATGGCACTGCCATGTTCATTGATAATGACTGGATCGAGGTCCAAGATAGTATTGGCACTGACATGTTCATTGATAATGACTGGATGGTGGTCCAAGGCATTAATGGCACTGTCATGTTCATTGATAATGACTGGATGGTGGTCCAAAGCATTAATGGCACTGTCATGTTCATTGATAATGACTGGATGGTGGTCCAAGGCATTAATGGCACTGTCATGTTCATTGATAATGACTGGATGGTGATCCAAGGCATTAATGGTACTTTCATGTTCATTGATAATGACTGGATGGTGGTCAAAGGCATTAATGGTGCTGCCATATTCATTGATAATGACTGGATCGAGGTCCAAGGTAGTATTGCCACTGTCATGTTCATTGATAATGACTGGATGGTGGTCCAAGGCATTAATGGCACTGTCATGTTCATTGATAATGACTGGATGGTGGTCCAAGATAGTATTGGCACTGTCATGTTTATTGATAATGACTGGATGGTGGTCCAAGGCAGTATTGGCACTGTCATGTTCATTCATAATTACTGGGTCCTCATCAGAGTAATGACCTGAACATGACTGGATGGTGGTCCTCCTGGTCAGTACAGACTCTGCCGTCTACACCAAGACTATCTGGATGTTCTCCTGGGATGACACTATCATGTTAACTAACATTGATTTCACTGTGTCTTTCTTGTCATTAAAGGCACCATCATGTGATGGCACTGCCATGTTCACCAAGGGTTCCTCATGGTCATCGTAAGATAATCTTGCAGTCAGTGGTTGCATAGTGATGCTTTAGAACAATTAGAGCCTATTTCACATTCACTAAGAGTGACTGCCATGTTCTTGAAAGACCAGTTATGATATGGGCAAGATCAGGAAGAGAATACTTCTGATAAAGTCCCTGATATTAACGAAGGATGGAGCAATTTTCTTGAACAGCTAACTAATATGTCAATAGGTATGGAAATGGTTGATTTGTCAATCTGAAAAGTAACTGATATTGATGAAACCTGTTAGGTTGTGATTATCTAGAAATACACATCACACACTTGCTCTGAGTTGTTGAATACAGGTTTCAGTATTATGTTTTCACCATGAGGAATAGGATACATGAATACTCAGGACATCCAGTTAATATATTTGAAGAATTTATTTTTTATATCTGTACTCTTGAGCACTGGAGCCATATGTTACACTGGTTTTTTTCAGGTGAATAATTCACATGGCTTTGCATGTGTTTGGTGGGGAAAGACATGCTCACATTTTTTAACTAGTTGATAGTGATTCATAAACCCATTAAATTATTTAATGGACTCTGCTCTTAGCAGTGATTTTTTAAAAAGATTTTTTATGTATTTTGAAAAGTGGTTTTACTTTCAGCAATGTGAATGATTGTAAATGGTATCCTTCCAACCTTTATACACAAGTGTACTACCATGAATATCTGCCAGCAGATGGTGCCATGAGTTATTTCTTGAGACAGCTGTGTTGTTGTTCATGTTATTGTTGTCTTGAGTATGTGTGCCATGCATCCTTGTTTCTTGTGTGCCTGGATATGATTTTGTGTGGAATATTTTCAGTGTTGTGTTTACTGCATAATGTCATCTTCTCCATTGTGGGCAAAAGCTAGATATGTACTGACAAAATATTTCTTTAATAATTATATATGTACAATACACTCATTATTATTATATATTATAATGTTCTAAACTAATATTTTAAGATGTACAGATTAGTTTTGTGACTTTATTTACCTAATCATATTCGATGGTCACCTAGCTATCATCTTTTGACTGAAACTTTGTTAAGTGAAACTGACCAGGACTTTCTGTAACAAATATAGTTGGGTGCTAATGTCTGGTTCAGAAAAACATTGTTTACACACAGACACATACTTGGCAACGAGTGAAATCATGAGCATTGATGCCTGTCTAGTGATTCCCTGTTTCAGTGGTGAAGTGTGCTATAAAAGACAGTGTAAGAAAGTTCTGGCACGGAATCAATCCTCTCCATTTGCCATTTGTGAGGTGCATAGAATAGATGATGTTTCCAATGCTTTGATGTTGCCTAAGTATATCTGAGATTTGGTGTTATTTAAGTTGATAATTATGATTGTGTATTCTTATTATTCTACACTTCACACCTGTTTGTAACGATACTGACACACATATAGTGAACAAGATGCCGTGGGAATTTGATGTGTTCTGAGTTTGCTGGCAGTAAATCCTTACATGAAATTATTACAGATGATGACTGAGTGGTTGAGTATAACAGTATTGTGGTTATATCATGTGTCAGCTGGTTGTAGGAGCCAGGCCTGAAGTAATACAAGTATTGGATGTTTATCAGGAGCAAGTGTATGGTGCTGCCAAACATTCCAGAAACATCTGGGATTCAAACTAGCTTCTGGCATGCCCAAGGGATGCAACTCTGCTCTGCAAGTTCCATCGCCATAGATGATGAGGTTACAGGTGACTTCTACAACAGGCATACAAAGGACAGTATTATAGTACTAGGCATAATTGTGTCTACAGCCAACCAAGCCAGTGTGTGGTGGACGATACAGCCCTCTATAGGTTGCCTTTCAAACAGGAGTTAAAAATATCTTCATACCATCACATACCAAATAAACAAATCTAGAGTAACGAAGCCATTGGTTAGTTATGAATGCAGTCATTAGAACTCATGAATATTTTTGGTTGTCATTTGTTTTGTCTCTTAGGCATGACACTGGTTGGAGGGTTCATATTTGCTAGAGTATGTTTGTCAGCACCAAATCCATGCTTGTACTAAAAATCTGAAAGAACATCACTTAAGATATTCCTTTTACAAGCTGACTGTAAATTAGTCAGTGAAGAGGGTTTAGAGAGATATATTGTTTTTCTTTGGGAAGTTGGCAGTGTGTGACATGTATCTTTTATCTACAAACCTGCAACCCTCTAAATTTAATTTCAAAATGTATTTTTATGCATTGTATTAGACATTATGCCTTATATCTTTCAGAAATTGCTGAGAACAATCGCCTACTGTTAGAAGCTGAACAGGCTGCCCATCTGTATGTCCATCAGGTAAGTGTCAGCTAATTCAGTAGCAGATTGAAAGATGTCATGTAGGCAGGGTTTGAAGTGCCTCAGCTCTCCAAGTGATGTAATGAAAGTCTGTGGACATGCTGCTCTTACATGCGATATATGCATAAAAAGAATCCTGAAGAAGATTTCAGTGTGAGTTCAGGTATTTTACCATAATAAATGCTTTAATGGGATTAATGAAGGCATAGACGATGTCTTCAGAGCCATGGAAACAAACAGGTGTTTGCTATACAGCATCTGTGTTGAGTTTACGGCCTTGTCATATTACAACCTCTGCAGAATCACAGTAACAGGTCATGCAAATTATGCTGAAAACTATGACAACTGTCATAACCTTATAATTTTATTTGCTCACACTGGTGATGATTGTAACAAGTTCATCGCTGTGGTTTGTCTAACCTATGTAAAGGGGATCAAGAGTTTTGTCTGCAGTTACTGGTTACCAATTCCTAAATTAGTCAATTGTGGTCAAAATGTACACTGTTTCACTGTTGAATGCCAGCACAATGCAATTGTGAAAGACACACTGAACATGATTCACTTCTGAGTGTGGTTGATAAATAAATTTGTTATTTTTCTAAGAATGTTGGGAAAGTGTGTATGAACCAAGAATATTCTATAAGAATTATTGTTGTTAAATCAGAGGAATTTGAAATGTGAAATTGGGTGCCAATGATGACATAAAAATGCTGCAATATGATGTAGGGTGTCAAACTACATTCTAATGATATCACATAGGAAGGCAACAATCAAATGGCATCATAACCAGCTATGATATCAAGCAGGAAAACTTCAGTTAATTACATCACAAAGTGCTGTGACATTACACGAGAAGGTTACAGTGCATTGATGACATTACACGAGAAGGTTACAGTGCATTGATGACATTACACGAGAAGGTTACAGTGCATTGATGACATTACACGAGAAGGTTACAGTGCATTGATGACATTACACGAGAAGGTTACAGTGCATTGATTACATTACATGAGAAGGTTACAGTGCATTGATGACATTACACAGAAGGTTACAGTGCATTGATGAAATTACACGAGAAGGTTACAGTGCATTGATGACATTACATGAGAAGGTTACAGTGCATTGATGACATTACACGAGAAGGTTACAGTGCATTGATGACATTACATGAGAAGGTTACAGTGCATTGATGACATTACACAAGAAGGTTACAGTGCATTGATGACATTACACGGGCAGGTTACAGTGCATTGATGACATTACACGAGAAGGTTACAGTGCATTGATGACATTACACAAAATGGTTACAGTGCATTGATGACATTACACGAGAAGGTTACAGTGCATTGATGACATTACACAAGAAGGTTACAGTGCATTGATGACATTACACGAGAAGGTTACAGTGCATTGATGACATTACATGAGAAGGTTACAGTGCATTGATGACATTACACAAGAAGGTTACAGTGCATTGATGACATTACATGAGAAGGTTACAGCGCATTGTGACATTACATGAGAAGGTTACAGTGCATTGATGACATTAAGGGCAAGTGCATTGATGATGTTACATTGCATTGATGACATTACACGAGAAGGTTACAGTGCATTGATGACATTACATGAGAAGGTTACAGTGCATTGATGACATTACGCAAGAAGGTTACAGTGCATTGACACCATTTAGTGCTGTGGTATACAAAGGAAGCAAATGTGTAATGACACTATAAAGTGCTTTGATATCTTGGCGGAAGACAACAATTTCATGACATGAAAAGGTGCATTGCTATCATACAGGGAGGCTACAATGTAATGACATCTTCTAGTGCAATGAGGCTAAAATGTAATGACATCTTCTAGTGCTATTATATGCAAGAATGCTACAATTTGATGACATCATATAATGCATTGATATGCAAGGAGGCTACAATTTTAGGACATCATATAGTGCAGTGATATGCAAGGAGGCTACAATTTGAAGACATCATATAGTGCAATGATATGCAAGAATGCTACAATTTGATGACATCATATAATGCATTGATATGCAAGTAGGCTACAATTTGATGACATCATATAGTGCAGTGATATGCAAGGAGGCTACAATTTGATGACATCATATAGTGCAGTGATATGCAAGGAGGCTACAATTTGAGGACATCTTTAGTGCTATGATATGCAATGAGACTACAATGTAATGACATCTTGTAGAGAGACTACAATGTAATGACATCTTTAGTGCTATGATATGCAAAGAGACTACAATGTAATGACATCTTGTAGAGCTTTGATATGCAAGGAGACTGCAATTTGATGACATCATATAGCGCAGTGATTTGCCAGGAGGCTGCAATTTGAGGACATCTTGTGCTATGATATGCAAAGAGACTACAATGTAATGACATCTTGCAGTGCTATGACATGCAAGGAGGCTACAATGTAATGACATCTTGTAGTGCTATGATATGCAAGGAGGCTGCAATGTAATGACATCTTGTAGAGCTATTACAGGCAAGGAGGCTACAATGTAATGACATCTTCTAGTGCTATGATATGCCAGGAGGCTACAATGTAATGACATCTTGTAGAGCTATGACATGCAAGGAGGCTACAATGTAATGACATCTTGTAGTGCTATGATATGCAAGGAGGCTACAATGTAATGACATCTTCTTGTGCTATGACATGCAAGGAGGCTACAATGTAATTACATCTTGTAGAGCTATGACATGCAAGGAGGCTACAATGTAATGACATCTTGTAGAGCTATGACATGCAAGGAGGCTACAATGTAATGGCATCTTGTAGAGCTATGACATGCAAGGAGGCTACAATGTAATGACGTTATGAAGTGTTTTCATATCACACATTGAAGGTTCAATGTAATACCTTAGTATTTGCATATTTTATTACTAAAATGCCTTCATGAAGACTGTCGTTCACCACAGTGAGCTAAGCAGTACAAAATATACTAGTAGATAGTTTTAACACAGAGTATGCTCCACTCAGACTAGTGTAACCCAAATGGTTTAGTGCTCACAGGTCTAAATGTCTAGATCATGTCCAACATTGGGCAGGAGTATTGGTTAGGTTGTGCTTCAACAAGCCTTTCAAGATTACTATCTTCAGCAGTAACCTGACCTTAGGAAGAAATTCCTGTAGATAATTGTGTCCTGTAATATTTCCTTGTGAGTTGTCTGAGATGCCCCATTGTCAGACTTACAATGCTTCACTGGTATTTCTGCATGAATTCACCTGAATAGCTTTTGTGTGTTTATGTACATCTTACAGTTTCCTACAGAAGTTATTTTGGCACATCTCAGTGTGTGGGATTACAGACCTATGTGTTTGTTTTGTATGACTGACTAGGATGCCTAAAGTGTGTTGAAGGGATATGACAATGACAATGTTTATGTGGCCTTGCATCCTCCCATATTCATTTACAAAATGTTTTAGGCCTAGGGGAAAAAAACGTCTAACCTTTGTGTGAGTGGATGATTTCCTGCCCATTTTACCTCTTTATTTAGGTTTATGGCTTGTTTTGTGCGTGTATGTGTGTAAAAAAGCCTTGTTAATTGGTTGGGAAAACCGCAGAAATATTTCAGAATTAGATATGAAGTTATTTGTCAATGAAGATAGTCACCTCAACCATACATATTGCATGTACAGTTTATTTGTGCTAGTCGTCATGATTATGTTATTTAGGAGTTGTGATAAAAAAATAAATGATAATATTTTATTAATTTTGTAAAAAAAAATAATCTATTTTCATCTTTTTAGGGTCATCAGGTGCTTACACTAATTAAGAAAAATGTATCACATAAGTAATGCTGGAAGTATTTAAAGATAAAGAGTGCAGTACTGTCATTTTCATTTATTTAATTGCTACAAGACCCATATATTTGCATCTGCAAATTTGTCAGATATATAGAAATAAATCTTTGTTTGATCCTAATCTCAAAATATCAAACAGTCCCCATGGTTTGTTATTCCAGAACAGATGTTGAATTTCATGGCAGAAGATACAAATGGAAACTGAAAATATTTTAAAAAATGTAAAAGCCTTCTGTAAACTTTTGACAAAAGAACATGAAGATAGCAATCTAAGATTTATTGGAAAATAATGGACAAATTTGTAAAAGGACACCCTGAAAAAGTGGTTGGATAATGAAGCCCTCAAGATTGGAGTAAATACGGACGAAAGCATGGAAAGTCGTCATTCTGTTGGTGGAGATGTATGACAATGTTTACTCTGCTTTAACAGAAGATGCTATTAAAGGAGAAGATAAATAACAGCAGTCTACTGGTATTGGTGATGTTTGTTCAGCACAAACCAGGGACAGCTTACTGCCTTGTGTTGTTGAGTCACACCCGCCTGAAGTATTTAGGTGAACAAATTCTCATTCAGCTCTTCAACCAATATGGTTATCAATATAACTGACAATTCTGTTTATGCATGTGTGAAAAACTTAAAAGATTGTTGGTGTACAGTTTTTAATCATTTTTTAATGACTAATTTTTTAAACTCATTATGAACTGATTTTTGTCCAGGTCCTAATGTTGCTGATAGTGTTGTTTGAGGTATTGTTATAAGAAAGTAACCAAGTTATTACATCAGTAATGTAGAGTCAATGTCAGTGTAGGTGAAAGTGACAAAGCCTTTTTATACTTGTACGAAATCTCCACAAATAGTTCTGTTGTCTGTATGTTTCCAGGGGCGTAGCTACCATTATTAAAAAAAGCCCAGGCTTACACATGATTGATACTAAAAAGGTTGGACAAGCCCTCAATACTGTCTAAATATTAAGCTTTGCAACCTGTCGGGCTTACACGAAAAAAACTGGTTTGCTATGCGCCTGGTTTCTGGCTATATCATAAACATGTGAGTTACTATGATGTTCACAAAAAGTCCCAACAATGGCACCAAACACATGGACAGGCAAGTCATTTGTTCATCTGAAAAGAGATGGTATCATATGTTGAAAGTCAAAATAGGG